TTTGTGTCAGGTTTCATAGGTTTGGAACTTAGGATCATTGTATATACAACCCATGCACTATGATAAGATAATATTGTACAAAATCATCATCTTCTTCTTCTTTGTGGACATGGACACTTGACACTTCACCTCCTTTTCACTGAATGAAGTTACAGTTTCACATCATTTTTAACGAGTATGATTCGAGTAAAATTTTATTAAATTTAATGAGTAACGAAACAAGTTTAACAATTTTAAAGTTAAATATTATTCGAATAATTTTCGAACCGAATCAAGTATTATTCAACTTAATGACACATGATTGATTTACTCGATAAACGTCCCTAAATAAAACTAAGTAGCACAATTTCATATAACCATGGTAAAGCCTAAATTAATAGTTACATAATAAGTAATCATTATTTGCAAAGATTAAAGTTGATTTGACGAATGGAGCAGGAAGACAAAAAAAAACAAGGGTCCGGGAATCTTTTAAGACAAATTGCACATTACAATTAAAATTAGGGTAAAGTATAGTAATGGTCACTGAATATTTTTGAAGCTTGCATTTAGGTCCCCCAACTTTTAAAACTTGCAATACAGTCCCCAAACATTTATTCTGTTTGCAATATGGTCCCCCAACTTAAACCACCGTTAGAAAATTAGGGTAAATTATATAAACGGTCATTGAACTTTTCAGGCACTTGAATTTAGGTCTCCCAACTTTTAAAACTTACAAAACAATCCTCAATTTCATTCTAAATCCCAATTTCCAAAGTAATTCAATTTCATTCTAAACCCTAAATTCCAAAAATAATTCAATTAAATTATAAACCCCAAATTCTAAAATACTTCAATTTAAGGTTTAGAAAATAAATTTATTAATTATTTCAAATAAACACATATTGATATAATATATAATTTATAAAAATTCATAATATTATTTTACCAGGTCATATTGAACATAGATCCACCTATTTATAATAACATTTCAATATAACGACGTTTCAAAATATTTTAAAAATATATATTATTTTTTACTAAACACGTGACTTTATGGAATTATGAAAGTGGCGTTGTCTTGATGGAATAATTTTTGTCAATGCGTTAAGTGAGTTTGTAAAACATTTGACATAAAAATATAAACACGTGACAAGGTTGGCCTCTTTGATGGCTGCAACTTTTTTTCTTATTTGTCCTCCTGCATTCTTTTGACATCCTTAATTCACATAGGTTATGTATGGAGTAGACCGGGATATTGTGTGGCTTCAGCGGGACTTTGGCATATATATATGCAATCTCTTTGACACTGGACAGGTTTGTATTGTCAACTTGTCACTTCTCTGAACTTGAGGATTTAATTTGATAATTTTCTGTTAAACTCTTAGTGTTTCTATGAAGCTATTTATTGGGGTTATTAGCACTTATAAATAAATTAGGGGGAAGGAAATTGGTATCTCAGACTATACATGACAACTTTGGACTTGTGGTATAATAACACAAATTTTGGATGATTAAGAAGATGCTAATCTCATTGGAACTCATTGAAGATGTTAAATATATTATAGGCTTGGGAATGTTACTGCTTACTGCATATTAAAGAGCCTAATTACTATTCTTTAAATGCCATTGTCTTTATGGAAATGCTTAGGCATAGTTTTGAGTGCAATTAGATATACATGAATTACTTGCCTGAATTGAAGTGAAAATTTGTGTCAGATACCTACCAATTTGTTGACTTATGCTTTCATTGTTTTACGTCTCCTAATTGCTTTGCTTTTATTATATGTTTTGTGATGACATATATGCTAGAGAAGACACACACTATTTGCTGTACATTTATGATTTAATGAGAATCAAATTGCTATAAATACCTATGGAACCTTAACAGTGTGATGCTCCTTTGGTAGAGGTACGAAGCTATGAATCATAATTCATATTATTTTCTACATTCACCATAGTTTGTCATATCATAGTGCTGACCCTTCTTGGAGATGAGAAGCTAAGGGATTTCAATAGTCTTTAATCATAGTTAAATTCATGGAAGTGTTGTGCTCCTTTACATATTCCTCTGGCTTTTGACATTCTATTTTGTTCAAGCTTCAATGCATAATCTACAGCTGAGGCTATGTATTCAAAATGTTTAATGCATGTATAATTTTGTTGATTTCCCCCCTTGAAATTAGCTTCTTGGTCATTGGTTCTCCTATTTTTCAAATAAATTTACATGGATGTATGAATTGAGAACTTTATTGCTTTCCGGTATTTATTTTGACCGTTATCTTACTAGCAAAGGTTTTCCTACTAGCAGGTCTACAAGCGTAGTTCTGATCTATGCATGCAACTATATTTTTCTGTCAAATGTTTTACAAACTCACTTAACGCATTGACAAAAATTATTTCATCAAGACAACGCCACTTTCATAATTCCATAAAGTCACGTGTTTAGTAAAAAATAATATATATTTTTAAAATATTTTGAAACGTCGTTATATTGAAATGTTATTATAAATAGGTGGATCTATGTTCAATATGACCTGGTAAAATAATATTATGAATTTTTATAAATTATATATTATATCAATATGTGTTTATTTGAAATAATTAATAAATTTATTTTCTAAACCTTAAATTGAAGTATTTTAGAATTTGGGGTTTAGAATTTAATTGAATTATTTTGAAATTTAGGGTTTAGAATGAAATTGAATTACTTTGGAAATTGGGGTTTAGAATGAAATTGAGGACTGTTTTGCAAGTTTTAAAAGTTGGGGGACCTAAATTCAAGTGCCTAAAAAGTTCAATGACCGTTTATATAATTTACTCTAATTTTCTAAGGGTGGTTTAAGTTGGGGACCATATTGCAAACGGAATAAATGTTTGGGGACTGTATTGCAAGTTGTAAAAGTTGGGGGACCTAAATGCAAGCTTCAGAAATGTTCAGTGACCATTACTATACTTTACCCTTAAAATTAAATTAATTTAAAAAAAACACTTTGGAAAAGGAAAATAAAATTGAATTATTGTGAATCCAATCGGGCATATGTCTCTTCTCCAGTCTGGATAAGTTCGGCCGAAAGTGTACACAGATTGAGTGATTCATTACACTACACAATGTTTTAATTTATTTATACAAATAATTTTATATCACATTTCACATTACAATATGCAATCATTAATATATTTTATATATTTTTACAGATTTTTACTCTTTCAAAATGTGTTACTCTTTATTTTTTATTTATAAAATTTAGCATTAAAAGCCTTTGAAGTTAGCCTTGGGTTACGTAATTTATTATTATTATTAATTAATCGATTTGATCTCATTACATATGTAATATTTATTATTAGCCTTTTTTAATTTTAACTATTTTAACTTAAATATTTCTAAAAAAATAATGAAAAATGAGAAAAAAATGAAAAATAATGTGGTGAGCATTCAATCGAGTCTAATAAAATTTTAGTTATTCAAATTGAAAAATCCTATTTTATAACTCAATCTTGACTTAAAATTTTTCTAGTCGAGTCGAGTTTTTGATTTTATATTTAAATTTAGTTGTAAATATATATAATAGTATAATAATATATGATTCTAATTTAAATGATTTTTTATAACCATACACAATATATACTTCATATGTGATATGAATATATCATTAAAAGTCGAGGGACTCGACTCAAACTTAAAAATCAACCTATTAATTATTAAATTTTTTGAATTACTATTCAAATTATGTGAGTTATATTTTATAATTCGATTTGAACTTATATTCTTTTCAAATTAAATCAAATTTATAAAAATACAATTCAAAATCATTTCAAATTAAATTATTTTGAGTCAATTTAAATTTTAAAAAATAATTTTTAAAGTTAAATCGAGTTATGATTATGCAGTGTAGTGGGCAGTGGTTAAGATGTTAGTTAGAGAGTAAAAAATAAGGGAAACGCAGCACGTTTAGCTTGCGTATTTCTCACGTCTGCGCTGATTCACCCAATCCGTCATCTCTTCTCCATCTCGGTCCAAGCCCTCCTCTTCTGACTACAAATTCATTGTGGTATGCGTAAATTCAATGAGATATATACATTAATCAAAGATTAAGTAAGATTTTAAATAAATATTAATTATTTCGTAATTATTTAAAAATAATAAATGTTATTAATAAAATAAAATAATATCTTTATAATAAACTTTTTTTAAAAAAAAAACTTGAATTTTGAAACAAAATTACTTCATCAATTTTTTACTACATCCAATTAACTCCAAACACGTCCACCAATAAAGTTTGTAATCCCAAAATTACCCTCATATTTTCAACACATGGACAGAAAAGTCCTCAGTTTCCGCGTAAAATTCGGCGCTCTGTTTGAAGGTTAAAGTAAAAACGTGTCGGTGTACACTTTTAGAATTTCAAGCTCCCCCTTTTATTTTATTTTAGGATAAAGTACACAAATGGTCCTCCAATTATATAATATTACTTTATTGAGTCTTTTAACTATTAAATTTATAAAATTATATCTCAATTATAGACGTTAACTAACTGACTAGGATATAATAAAATCTAATCATAGAATCATTTTAGCTGTATTTTATGAATAGACTAGAATCAAATTTTTTAATGGAAAAAGACGATTTTGAAACATATAATTATGAATAGTCAGATGATCATTTTGTAAGTTTTAATAGTTGAAGAGTAACAAAACAATGCCTTATAGTTAGATGATCATTTTGTAACTTTTAATGGTTAGGAGACTTAACAAAATAATATCCTATATTAGGGGATGAGTTGTGTAGTTTACAATTTGTTTTAACCCAATTACCCAAACTAATTTCTTTTTAAATCAATAACATCCCTTGAATCCATCGTATAAAAATTGATTTCCGTTAACTTCAAACTTCAATCATTAGGCCACTCACTCATTTCCCTTCAACTCACTCACTCAATCTTTCAACTCACCTCCTCCCCTTCGTCTTTCGCAAGAAAACTCATTTGATCCAATCAGGGAATCAAATTTCCCTAGACAAAATGAAAAAATTTCATCCAATTACCTTTGTTTCGACATTGCTGGTGATGTTTTTGAGTTCAGAAGAAACCGGTTCAAGTGACATCAAATGCACCCCTTGCCAGCAACAAAACCCATCGCCGCCTCCACCGTCTCCACCTCCACCAGCTCCTACCTCCAACTACTGCCCACCACCACCATATCCATCCAGCTCTAGCGGTGGTGGCAGTAGCTACTACTACTCTCCTCCACCACCATCTCAATCCGGGGGTGGTAACAACTACAACGCTCCTCCGCCGCCAAGTGGCGTCATCGGTGGCATGTATTACCCTCCACCAACGTACAAAAACTACCCAACGCCGCCACCTCCGAACCCCATTGTGCCTTACTTCCCATTTTATTACCACACACCTCCGCCGCCTTCGGGGTCTGAAAAATTGGTAGCTTGTTGGGTCTCAACTCTTGTTTCCTTGCTGGGTCTGTTCCTTCATTTCTTTTGACATTGAAGAAAGGAAAATGGTGAAAAAATGTGGCAGATCTGGGGAAAATGAAGAAGACAGGCAAAGAAACACATGGTGTAAACTTTCTCTTCTTTTCTTGCTGTAGTTTATTTTCTCATCATTTTCGTTTCATTAATATTTAATGTTAATTGGAAGATTAGTCACTTTTTCCACAATAATTGAGCTTGGATTAGAGGTTTATTTGTGTACAAACGTGTTGGTCCATAAAGTAAGCTGAGTTATGATTGTTTATTAATTAATTAAACATTTTAATGGGGCTTAGGTTCATTGGATTAGCATCGAGATTTACCTGTGATTTGAGTAATAGGGGTTTTGATGGAAACTATATGATTTGACTAAATTATCATAAAACTGTTTGGCATGCCGAGTAAAATTAGACTTCACTCCAAAACTTTTTCTTTTCTTTTCTAATTTTAGTTATTTGAGTAAAAATTTAATTACATAATCGATTTTTAAGTTTACAATGAGTTGAAATGTATAAAATTTTAGTTTGACTCAATAATATCATAAATAATTACAAACAAGTTGTATAAAATCCGAACAACTTAGTTTGACTCAATTCAAAATTTATAAATTCGATTAAATCTAATTAAAAAATAAAATAAAATTTTAGTCACAAAATATAATTCATCAATTTAAATAATTTAATTTTTTTAATTCGACTCTACTCAAATCTATCGAATGCTCATTGGTAGATTGAAAATTATATAATTTGAGAGAGTATATAATTTTGGTTGAAAAATAAATAGATGAATGCATGGTGGGTGCCGCAGCCGAAAGGATAATAGTTGAAAAATTGGGAGTTCTGACATACACCCTATTTATCTGCTAAATAAATAGATGAATGCATGGTGGGTGCCGCAGCCGAAAGGATAATAGTAGAAAAATTGGGAGTTCTGACGTACACCCTATTTATCCGCTCATCTCTCAATGCTGATTACTCGGCACCAATATTGACCACCGAATCCTAATCTTTGGGACATGATCCCATTCTTCGCAAGGTAAGGGTTTTTCATCGCAACTTTTACTTTGCTTTCACAAGAGCCTTTTATGAACGTGGAGAAAAAGCGGGTTGTCCTTTATGTTTAAGGGCTCCCTTACCCTTATTTTTATATGTTTCTTAAAATTAATATCATAAAAAAAGACAAAATAAAAAATAATTAATCATAGCCATAAATACCCGAATTGATATGGCTATAAAAATGATGATCTTATTGTAGGAGGAATTCCAGGGAAAATGAGCTGGATGGCACGTAACATGTTCATCAATCTTACTAAAGTGCATTTTCCATCGAGGATTTATCGAAAAATAAACATGATCAATATTACTAATAAAAGATATATGATAAGATATTTACAGTCGATATCACAATTTAAGTATAATATATATAAACGAACTATAAACATCTATCAATATAAGATAATTAATCTAATAATCAAATGAGATGAATCTATAAAATAATTACCAACTAAGAAGATAATTAATCTAACTTTAAAAAAATGCTAAAAATTAAAAAAAATCAGAAATTTCATAAAAAAGTATTATCAAATAAAAAAATAAAAATTCAGATATGTCAAATAAATAATAAAATAAATTTTAGAAGAATAAAAGAGAGGAAAGAAGTAATAGTGAGAGATGAAATGGGACCTAATAGTGCTTATCCATACTCAAAGGCCCATTATGAATGAAGTGTTTGGAAAAATCAGTATGTGTTGCTTTTCTCTGCACTATTCTCTTTGAAAATCTTTTGTCCTTTTTAGCTCTTGGGAGAGAGGGGGCGATGTATGGGATAGGCTATGTAATTCATTATCAAATAAGGATCTTTGATGCAGTGGTTGATGTGTGTGGATTTAATCCTCGTGTCCACTTGATTTAATTCAATTTATTTTTCTACCTATTTACTTAATGTGCAATTATATTTATTTTTTAACAGTTACGTTACCTTTTCCGTCAAATATCAGCAATTAATGGTTTGATTGAAACACTTAAATAATTAAATGATCTAATTAATAAAATTAGAAAAACTCAATGATCAAATTCAAAAAGAACAATAATTAAGTGGACATGGATATAATTTATCTTTATTTTTATAGAATTCTAACTTGAGTAAAAAAAATTCAAATAAAGTTTGAGTTATAAAATAGTATTCATCAATCTAAACAATTGAATATTTTTTACTCGACTCGATCGAATACTAATCCTATGGACAAATGTAGAAATTTCTACTAAGGGTTTAAACTTAAAAATTTATATTAAAAATTTAGGAAGTGTGAAATTACAAAAAATTAAAGGGTAAAATACAAGATTAATCATTTTCGTTTAAGTTTTGTACAATTTTCTTCACTATATTAAAAAACATAATATTTACTTTCATTATTTTTAATTAAGATGTGATCAATAAGGATTAATTGTAGTTAGACTTTTAATGAATTGCTGACATGACACATGAATTTATAAAATTAAAAAGAGTAAATTACGCAAATATTCACTAATATTTGAGTACATTATATAATAGGTGTTATTGCTGTCGCGAAAAGATAACAAGCTAGCAAGTAGCTTTTTAGAGAGGGAAAAAGGATGTTTGATTATTGGCTCCTACTGGTTTTGCTCCAGGAAGGAGAGAGCAGTGCTTATCTTCGATATTATCAAACATAATCTTCAAATAAATAAATAAACTAAACCGACTATTCAGGTAATATTTTTTTTCTTCCGGTTCTAAGTTTTCACATTAATTAATTTAGATTAACTCGCGTTGCACATTTAATCTTGGTGGGTGAGTCTCTCAACAAGGATTTTCTGCATACACAATTACTCGAACTCAAGATCTTATTTAAACGATATAAGTTGTTTACCACTTCAACCAACCCTTATTGATCTCTCGTTCAGTAGGGAAATCATGGACACTAACCGAAGTAAGATCCTACTTTTATATTAAACTAGAAAATGATGTATAGTATTTGATCGAATTGAATAAAAAATAACTCAAATTTTATTTAGGTTTTTAGTCAAGTTAAATTTATAAAATTTGTGTCTAGTCGAGCTGTTCGAGTTTTTTAAAGTTTAATTATAAATATTTATAATGTTATGGTGCTATTTGAATATAATTTGAATAATTTTTTACAACTATATATGATAGACATATATATATATATATATATATATATATATATTTTATACTTTTCATTTATTATATCATTCAAATTTAAGAGACTGAACTCAAATTTGAAAATCAATTCTATTTGAGATATAGATGGAAATGTTTATATTTAGGTTAAAATATTTAAATAATTTTTTTATTTTAGATATTTAAAGTTTTTTAATCAAGATAAATATTTAATATTTTATGAGAAAATAATTTCAGTGACTAAAAATGCCTTATAATATATGATTTTAACCAACTTTTTTTGGATTTGCCAAAATGACCAACTAAATCGCAATGTGATCGATAATTCGCAACGCGATCTCCGGTATCGTAAATCAGTTTCCAGATTCGCAACGCGAACTTCGACTATCGCATTGCGATTTACATAGTCGCATTGCGATAGTCCAAGTTCGCGTTGCGATAGTCGAAGTTCGCGTTGCGATTTTCCAAATTCGTTGCGATAGTCGAAGTTCGCGTTGCGATTTATTCCAAATTCGTTGCGATAGTCGAAGTTCGCGTTGCGATTTATTCCAAGTTCGTTGCGATAGTCGAAGTTCGCGTTGCGATTTATTCCAAATTCGTTGCGATAGTCCAAAATCGCAACGACTGGTGGTATTGCATTTGTTTCTTAAGAATTTTCTCTAAAAATATAGTATTCGCACGGACGTGTCGAAGACACGTATTACCACGACCACGACCCGATACGAGACGAGACGGACGGCGGCGGCGGCGGCGCGCGAGAGTCCCCCTTGTTCTCTATCACTCAACAAGGAAGTGAGAAAGCCAAGCCTTAAATACCATTCCCAATAGTGTTTCCAATATTATGTGGGATTGAGCATTACCAACACTTGTTCTCAATACTATGTGGGATTGAGCCTTAAATAGTGATATTATTTTTGAATGTTTTACTTAAAATTGCAATAATCGCGATTGATTGTAGATTGACTTTTAATTATGACATATTTAGTCGTATAATACTAATGCAATTGGTTGCTGATTCAGTTGTTTTATGGTGCATGATTGTTAATTGCTTCCTGAATAATCACATTGTATTAGAAACAAGTGTTGATAATGCTCAATCCCACATAGTATTGGAAACACTATTGGGAATGGTATTTAAGGCTTGGCTTTCCCACTTCATTGTTGAGTGATAGAGAACAAGGGGACTCTCGCGCGCCGCCGCCACCTCCGTCTCGTCTCGTCTCGTCTTGGATAGGGTCGTGTCGTGGTCGTGGTCGTGGTCGTGATAATACGTGTCTTCGACACTTCCGCGCGAATACTATTTTTTTAGAGAAAATTCTTAAGAAACAAATGCAATACCACCAGTCGTTGCGATTTTTGACTATCGCAACGAATTTGGAATAAATCGCAACGCGAACTTGGACTATCGCAACGAATTTGGAATAAATCGCAACAAATTTGGAATAAATCGCAACGCGAACTTCGAATATCGCAACGAATTTGGAAAATCGCAACGCGAACTTCGACTATCGCAACGCGAACTTGGACTATCGCAATGCGAATATGTAAATCACATTGCGATAGTCCAAGTTCGCATTGCGATAGTCGAAGTTCGCGTTGCGAATCTGGAAATTGATTTGCGATACCAGAGATCGCGTTGCGAATTATCGATCGCATTGCGATTTAGTTGGTCATTTTGACAAATCCAAAAAAAATTGATTAAAATCGTATATTATAAGGCATTTTTGTTCACTGAAGTTATTTTCTCATATTTTATTCTATTATCATTTTGATGTTGAATTATTAACATCCATTGAAAATGTATCATCCAATGAATGCATGACATATGGTTTGAACGAGATAAAAATCAAACACAAACAAAAATTCAAGTCATCCACCACGCCGCTCTTCATAGTAAAATCTCTAATTTATAAAATAAATTTCTAAAATTCCTAATTTCGTCCTAAAACCACTAAAAATCTATCTATTTCCTCCTACTCCATCTGCTACAGTTAAATCATTCCACAGCGCCGCTCTTCGTCGTAAAATCTCTAATTTATAAAATAAATTCCTAATTTCATCTTAAAACCGCTAAAATTCTAATTTTTTCCTCCTACTCTATCTGATACAGTCAAGTCATTCCATCACGCCGCTTTTCATCGTCGATGGGTCACCTGACATCCACAATCGAAAGCAGGAACCTGAGCAAACTCTACATGTATGTTACCATTATTGCCGCCACATGAACCATCGATCACAGTCGTAACTCGTAACTATGGAGCATCGTAGACACTACCAAAGTCGCAAGGTTAACTAATAAAGTAGAAGACGAAGCCCTCGAACGCGGTCACTTGAATACATAAAACCTAAACGATGGAGCTGACAAAGCCTTGTTGAAATTTTAAGACGAAGTCCTGTTGGCCACGAGAAATCCGATGATGGATGCGTAAATATTTTTTCGTGCACATGAAAGAGAGGTGGAAGAAGATTGGCGACAAGCAGCGAAATAACAAGATTTTTGCCGATTCATCAATTACAAAGAGTGGCGTTGTTGGAGAAGAAGACAATGTGGAGAGCTTTTTTTTTTATATATATTATATTATATTATTTAAAATTAATTTTATTTTAATAGAAATTATTAATTGTTTTTAAATAACTTCACGTACAACATATTCATTGAATAACATTTTTTAACTGATGTTAATAATTTAACTTTAAAATAATAAGATAAAACGTGATATATCTATTTTATATTTGAACACTTATTACCAAGTAATATCTTTATATTTGGTATAGAAATGTGGAACAAAAACCTAACTGATGTGAAGTCAAATGTATTTCCAGTTTAAGAAATTTGTCCACGACAACAAAATGCCTTTTGCATGGGAGAATCTGTCTGTCCTCATTTCGGCATAATTCCCATCCAAATTAATCAATGAAATTACATTAAGTATTTTCATCGCTTTTACTACAAACTTTAGTGCTCTGTTTTGATAAAAAAATATTTTAGGCATTCATATAAATAAAAAATTGAATACTTTAGTTATTTATTTTGACAAAAATTACTTTAAATATTTAGATAAAAATAATATATTTTAAATACTTATGAAATCAATAACAGATTGATCTAGTAGGATGAGATACTAAATCTCTTCGAAGGTCAAGAGTGTGAATCCTAGTGTTTTCAAATAGAGCAAACTGGGTTGGGAAAGTTACCCTCACCTATGTAGTATCTAATCCAGATAAATTGATCTACAGATTGAACACTAGTAGATCTAAAAAAAACTTATGAAAGCCAATATAAAATAAATTATTGATGTATAAAAGATTATATAATAAAATATTTACTACATGAAAAATATTAATATAACACATTAACATGAATGTAAGAAAAAATAAATTTTTAACTAAAACAAATATCCTATCATGTTCTCTTTCGATTTATCCCTATCTCACACCCGACTATAGCATAAGGAACCCATAAACCAAGCCCAGCTAGCCTTGTCTCACCTTGCCTCCTATGATTTCTAAGAGATTTGATGGGTTGTGAAGGTCATAGATCCATTTGGATGATGACACATGTGGTGTGGTGTCTACTGTCTAGAGAGGGAAAAAGGGAGCTTGATATTGGCTTCTACTGGTTTTGCTCCAGGAATGAGAGAGCAGTGCCTTTAACTTCGATATTATCGAAGACAACCGACAAAATAAATAAATAGATAAAATATACTTATGACCATTTAATTATAAATACATATTAAATTGATTAACGATATTTTTAATTTTATTAATTAAATTATTTAACTATTTAAATTAAACTAATATAAAAAGTCATTAAATTATACATCTTTTTTCATTTAAATGTCTAAATTTTTTGCTCATTGTTATTATTTTAAGTGTCTTATTCATAACGATCGTATTTTTTTTTGGTTAAAAATCAGTCTATTAATCTATACGTGATCTAATTTTTAATTTCTTTTACTTTTTGTTATAAAAAACCTTAAAATTTCTTATATTTTAGAAAATACCGGCGATCCGCTGGCCATCATCACCGTCGACTCATCTCTCGTAGCCACCATCAACCACCCGCCTAATGGTCACCATCCATGCTTTCGTGGATTGTAAATTGCAAATTGAGCTAACAGCACAAATTGAGTTAGTCGCTGGCCACCTTCCATGCACCAATGCAACGTCGAAGAATCCACGTAGCGGCGAATCCATGCAGTGGCATTAGCGGCGTGCAGATTATCCTTACTAGCAACAGCGACGAGACCTGAGATTACAATCTAATTAAGATTTAGAAGTTTGGGTATTGAAATTTAGAGTTTGAATTTAAGGATTTGAGGCAACAAGAAGGAATGTCCATCAATAAAGGTCCAATAATGGGTGGGGAGGCGATTGATGGTAGGGGTCGATCCACATTGAGTTGATGTTTTGGGATTAAAGACTTTGACACTTTTTTGAGATTATAAAAAAATTATAAATTTTAATAATAATAATAATAATTTTAAAAAATTATAAACTGTCACAAATCATATTTTGAGTGGTTGGTAAAATTTTTAATATTTATTATGATTAATACATTTAAAATGGTAACGTTAAACATTAAATACCTACATTAATGGAAAAAAATTTAGACACCTAAATGGGTAAAGAGAGTAAAAAGCTTATCTTTTGTTCACCGAGGAGGAAGGTTTGCACTCGGGGAAGCGAACAACCACCAGAAAATGAGAGAATGCCGGAAAAAGGTAAAAGTCGAGAGCTTTTGTCGTAGATTTTGATCGTTTTTGTGGTTTTTGATGATTATATATGGGTTTGGGCCATTGAAAGGAGTATGTGGGTAGACTTTAGGGGTCTCTAATTATCATAGGTAGTGGCCAGAGCGACTGTTAGTGTAGTGGTTGTCGGAGAGTGTCATCGGATTTTTGGGGCTTGGGTAGAGAGAGTTGAGAGAGTTTGAGGAGTGTTTCTTTTGGAGGGTTGTAAAAATGAAATAAAAAAAGAGAAGATTTTGGCTTTTATATCAAGCGGGTCTGATCAGCTTCAGGTCGGGTCCAATTGAGTTTGGGTTCACGTGTTTTTGAGAGTTTCGGAGTAAATTAGCGTCACAATCCTTTTAATTTTAAAATTGTTCAATTTAATCATTTTAGCCATTAGTTAGTTAAAATTGCTTGTAATCTAATCCTTGAATTTTGTTTTTTTGTAATTTAATCATTGATGAATGGAATTAATGTGTGGTGCTTTAATCTTTTTATTTGTTTTTTGTAGCAATTTTTTATTTAGGTTAAATATTAGTTATAATATTTTTAAGGTTTTTTTAAAAATTAATTCATGATGAATTTTTTTTCAAAGGTAAGTAACTCATATTCATTTTTTAAACTTTGGTCTAAATTTCAATTTTCACGATAAAGACAATTCATAATTGCATTGGTACCGAAAGGGTAACATAGGGTGCTCTTCATTCCTCACTTGTAATCAACTCTTGAATCCGTCAAAATAGAACTCTGACAAGATGTATATCTGATCAAAGGTAAGTATTATGTATCTGATCTTACCTAACTCAAAAAGGTCGGTGACTACTCCATCGATCACTTAAGTCGAATTTTGATCTCCGGCCACCCGAAAGACCATTAAGTGACAAAAACATAACTAAAATGATAATTGAGAAACTAAATATGTAGTTGACCCTAATTTTTTTAACAAATGTTAATGATTCAACCTTAAAATGACGAGGAAATAGAACATTAGATATCTATTTTAATAAAAAAAAAACTGTATACACTTAAAATAAAAAAATATTATTCATTTAAACCTTTATATTTGATATAGAAATGTGGAGCTAAAACCTAAATGATGTGAAGTCAAATGTATATCCAGCTTGAGAAATCTGTCCACGACAACAAATGCTTTTTACATGGGAGAATCTGTCTGTACTCTTTCCTCCGTATTCCCGTCCAAATTAGTCAATCAAATTACATTTCATCACTCTTACTACAATACTCCAAAGCTTGTTCAATCTTTTGATTATTTACACAATTCATCATTTAATCATCACAAACATTATGCAATAAATTATTATTCATTCCAATGATTTCATTAATTACAATCAATTCATAACCACTTTTATTTATTATTATCCATCACTGACCGTACAACATTTTGATTTGACCAACATCATAAAACAGAAACATATTTGAATCCAACCAAAAGTAGGTTATACTTTTTGCTGTTTGGCGCCTTGGAAAGTTTCATCTAAAACTTTATTTCCTCAAATTCTTCTCCTCTAACGTTAGTTAACCCTAAACAACTACAGATTAAAACACTAAAGATTACACATGAAAAGGTTAGATGCCCATTAAAGACCCTGTCATTCTTGCTCTAAATATGAAAAAAAAGGAAGAAATTTATGCATAAACAGAGCCATAGGAGAGTGCCATTAGGAGCACAGCGGCTTGTTCTTCTTCTCCAAGCTTAGTTCTTTGATTCTCAATCGTTGATCTTTGCATCAAAACTTGTCTTCCCAAAGATAATAACCTCTGCCTCAAATTATCTCTTAAATTTCTACTGTTACTGATACTGCTGCTGTTGTTGTGGTTTGATTTCTTTGATTTCTTCATTTCTTCTCCTCTGTTTAATCCCAGCATTGCTCTTCTCTTTTTCCTGCTCCTGATCCCACATGCGTTACAAAGAGACTGCCAAAGAAAAAAAAAAGAATCAGATCAAAATCAAATACAAACAAAAATTCAAGATCATTTTTTTTGAAAGGGAAAATGATGAAACCTTGGGGCCAGCTGGACCACCTCTCCAGAGTGGGGTTTTAGAGGTACCACAATCAGCACAAGTTTTATTGGTTTCATTGCTGAGTGAAATCTCTTTTTGATCTTCAGAATCTGATCCCTGCAGGCAAAATGAAGAAGGAAAATGATTATCAAACAAGGTGGGGGTTAAATGAAGAAGAGTTTCAAGAGCTGTGATCACTAACTTTTTCACTTGGATCCATCATTGTAAAACAGGGGGAAAGAGTGAGATCTTGTTAAAGCTTATTGTGAAGGAGAAGGAAAGGCAGAGAGAATCAGAGGGAAGTTTTGAGCCATGCAAAGGGGAATCAAAATCAGAGCAACATAAAGCACCGGAAGCGGGCGGATCTGGAAAATATCTTTATAAACGGGAAGCCAAACCCTAGCTCGGTGGACTTTAAATGACTTAAATGCCATTATTGGTTGCCCTTTTTACCGCATGTTGCCATTAAACATAAAAAAAGATCCTGAAATTAAAGAGCTTTGCAGAAAATCAGAATCCTGAAACCTGGGTAGGGCAAGGCAACGGGGACCATTTTTTGTTGCCCCGTCTCATCCTTGCTATACATAAATATTATTTATTTATTTTTCCATACCCACTACTAATAAATATTTGTTTTATCTAAATTTGATGAGTTCTGGTTAAACTTTTATTATATTCCATTAAAGGTTGAATTAAATTTTGTGAAAAATATTTGACTCAATTTAAGGCATAATAATAGAATAATTATTCTCTATATATTTAGTGATACTTGTTATATTAAAATTTTTTAATTAGGAAACAAAAATATATTTTTTATTTTTAAGTTGTGTCGAGTTAGGTATGATTTTTTATCTTAAAATTTAGATTAAATTTCAAATTGAATGAACATTATATAAACTAAAAACAAATTCAGATGTTAAATAAAGAATATACTACTCAAATCAAATTTAAAGCAACCAAGAATCTAATCCAATCTATCATTATTTCTACTTGTAATTCTCAAGCTTCAATCTCAATCTGATTTTCTTAATTTTGTTTTTTATTCCCCTTAAATTTGTACATAAGATTTTGTTACCACTTTTGTATGGTCAGCATTGAAAGATATTTTAAAATTAATTGAAAAATAGATTTTTATATTAAATAAAACTGACTCATATTAATTGTTTTTGCATTACAGTAACAGTCCACTCACTTAATCAAAGTTTTAAATATTTTTTCTCATTGTTTTTATCTCATTCTAACAAAGCATGTAATTCGAAGAGTTATATTTATCATTTGTTGAATTATATAGAACGGGAGAAATAATAAAATTGTCTTAAAAAATATTGCTAAATGCGATAAATTTATTTTTATAAATATAAAAGAATGTGACAAATAAAAAAATATAAGTGATATTCTTCATTAATTTTTTAATATAATATTTTAAAGTAAATAATTTTAAAATTTAAAAGAGCTAAATTTAATGAGTTCGAAAAATAATATATTATTCAAAAATATTGACGGTATGAGAAAATGGGTAAATAAAGTAGCCCTGCCGCTATGACGAGGAACCGTCAGATGCCAACGGCAATGGATCTTCTTTGGATGACGTTGCGATGGCAATTGAGTCTCCGCAGGGTCAAACACTTGTGGGTGACGGTACTGACGCCAAAGTCATTTAGTAGGAGATTCTCCATCATTGCCCAAACTCAATAAGTTGCCATCACCACAAAACATGAAATATATATTTTAAAATTTTCCTCTTATTTTTTAAAATTTTATATTAATATATATATATATATATATTTATAAATTAATAATTTTAAAATATAAATTTTAAATATACAACTTAAATGGTCATAAACAAAAACCACAAATATATAAATTTAAATTTTTTTTTTTAAATATTAATGTCTCTCATGAGTAAAAGGTTCTAAATTAAAAAAAAAACATTTATTTTGAATTAATTTGATATTTCATCTATTGATTGACTAATTTAGATCGGTTTTTACAAAGTCTTATTAAGATACTATCTTCCTAATTCAGTTTGTTCCATTAGCGATCGTCAGGATAATATATATAAACTTGATTTTTTTCCCTAGATTTTCAATATTGTTTTTCTAATTTAATTTCTCAAATCATACTTCTTTTCATTTTCTCTAATTTATAGTATTTTCACATATAAAATGATGAAAATTACATTAGATGAAATCAGAATCTGATCTTATCCTTAAAATTGTGAATTGACGAAAATTTAACAGCCCCGTGTAATATTTTGAATACTTTTAGGCTCTTACTCCATTTTTTAGAAGACAAGTTCTTACTAATTTGTTTCATATTTTAAGGGTTTATTTTATATATTAAGTTTTAAATCTACTACTATATATCTATTTTATTTTACTTTTAAGAAAAATTAGTAGAATATTTATAGAAAAAACACATTATAGATCTATATTTATTTAATGAAGCCACATATAAATATATAGTTTGATAAATAGAGTTAATGTTAAATTACATTCGGTAATTGATCTCCAAAAGAATATATACTTCTGTCATTGTTTTTGATGATGAAGTGTAGATATTACAATACTTAAAGAATCATATTGTTAGAAAGACTGTGAATTGATGTGATCCGGTTGCGGAATATCTGAGATTATTTATTATCCAGTCGTAAATTAAGTATATGTTGATAGAAATGAAATGAATAATTTCAACAAAATGGTATGGTAAATCGAAGGAAAGTGTTGCATCGCAGAAGCTTGTTATAGATGTCATGGTAAAGATGTTGGGATATGTGATATGGTGAAGGAAATATGAATATAAATATGATTTGATAGTTTGTTTCGGAACAGGGAAAGAACCAACACTATGAAAGGAGTATTGGCCTAAATCCTATAATGTTCTTAAAACGAATGCAAGGAAGTTAGAATTGTGACCTTCAACTATAAAAAGTTTGGAACTAATTAATATCAAAGAAAGGATTGACGCAACAAGATATAATCTTAATAAGTCGGTAGAGTTCAATTAATAACAAAAAGAGTTGAACACTCACAAAGAAATTTCCATTCAAGTTGTCTATCAAATGCTTACAAGAATGTTCTATTTGTAGCTAGGTGAATACAAATTAAGTGTAAAGGGTTAAAAATTGGTCTTTGACGTGGGCACAAATACCCTTAGCCGAATTCATACACGGCATTAATACTTGTTCATCCTTTGAATGGTCTTCATGTATCTATGTATCCGTCCAATACATTGGAAGGAGATGAATGGCCTTTGAATGAAACTTTGGTATTACAATGCATTTTCCAAGTACATAAATCTACAGAACATCCCCCTTTGTTGTCCACGCATGCTTCCAAAGTGGAATTAATGATGTATCCAAAGGAAAATGGATGGTTGTGATGAATGGATGACTCTAAAGCTTGAATTCCTCTCTCTTTTCCGTCCATGCATGTACGTCTCTAAAAGGTAAATGCATTGGTTTGAATGCATGAATGCATTAATGCTTTGAATTCTTCCATCTATGCTTTTGTATCATTTAAATCTCTCCCCAAATTGGCCGAATCTTCCCAAGCTTCGTCCTTGCATGGATGGATGTTCAAGGGCCTTGAATGTGCTTCCATTATTCATCCAATGGACGTTCATTATATTAGGTACACCTCCTAAGGTTGGTCGATCATGAATGTACCTACAAAGATCAATAACAACTCATTAGAACACTTTATTAAGGTATTAATCTAGATATATCCATAGATGAAAAACCATGCAATAACTAAATGTAAGAATGCAACTAAAGTAACCAATTATTAAATATGTTACACATACATATATAAATATAAATGTAACAACATGTAACCAAGATAACTAATTAATTAATCATGCAACAACTACTTATATAAATGTAACCGATATGCAATTAAATATGTAATGACAAGTAATAAACATATAATCATGCATGCAATGAAAGTGTAATGAAAAACAAGCTAACTATATAAACTATCATGCATGCATTAAGATTCTTCTTGCAACACGTTGCATGTTGTCCAAAAGGCCATGGTTCAAGGCTCGCTTCGTGAGCTGAAATAATCAAACTAATGACTGAATTTTCAAGTCTTTTAGAATGTGAATGAACGGTTGGGTTCTTTGGCAGCCCATCTGTTGTGATCAAGGGTCCTTGGATTTTTTGTCAACCCGGTTCACATCATGAATGATATGATTTCTATCCATTTTTATTATATAATTCAGATCTTGACAATCAAAAGTATAAATCAAAGTTATTATAAAGTTTATGAGAAAAAAATTAGATACAATATACTATGACCAAGATATACGATCTATGAATATTATTTGAATTTGTACATCTTTGCCTTTGCCCCCATTCTACATCATCCAATATTTTCTTCAACCTCTGTCGTCTCACTATATTCACAGTTTTAAAACATCAACCTCTTAATTTTTTTCATTGATTAATTTTGGGGATTCATTTAAAATTATTCATTATATCATCGTATAAAGAATTTCATTTACAAAAATAAAATAAAAAATATTTTTTTCTTTCCGTATATCCAAGCAAATGTAGCTCTAGCTTGTGCCTTCAGCTTTGCCGAAAGGCACCAATTTGCTCTAAACGCCATTAAATTGCTTTCCAAAATCCCCTGAAAATGAGAACCGCGGTGGCCGATTTGGTAATTCGGTGATCACCGGGTCCTCTCTCGCCATGGTTGTCAACCGATATGGTGGGGAACTGGGCGGTGACCCGTGTAGGATGGATGTTTCCAGCACCTGTTGACGAACTTGGTGGTGTTGTTGGAACAATTTTTGGGCATGTAATGCTGTTAAGTATAAGCCAGCCGCCAGGAAAACAGTGAGCAATGTCAACACACCAGCCGCACAAAACAAGCCTTCTCTAATGATGAGACAACCATCTCTTGGTCTGGACCAGTTGCTCAAATGTCCCGATTCCACGCTCAGCCCAATCAACAATAAAATCTCCCCCACCGCAAAGCAAAGCCTGTGACCAAATCAATGAAAATTTCAATTGCTTTGCCTTTTACTTGATATTCAAAATTTTCAACCGTATTATCAAAAAAAAAATATACAACAGTTGATAACATTTAAATTGTCACGATTGTAGATGATATATATTTTTTATTTAAATAGAGAGTTATAGTCGATAATTCTGTAATGGATATTTGATTTAAGATGATAGATAACTTTTTTGTAATTCAGAAAAAAGAGAGAAAAATAAGGGTATAATGTTAAAATTAGCACACAACATATATTAAAATGATCGTTTTGACATCTAAAAGAAGAGAGAAATTAAAATTTTTAAAAATATATAATATTTTTAAGTTTTTTAAAGAAATTTTTAAAATTAACAGAATATAACACGTGTCACTTAACGAATTTTTTTACCAGTCGAAAAAAATTGTAACATTAGACACTTAAATTGACTGAACAAAAATTTAAACACCATAATAAAGAAAAATATATAATTTAGATATTTTTTTAATAAACCATAATAAAAATATAAGTTGTCCGAAGAAATATAACAATAACCATTGTAGAAAAACATCTCGGAAAAGGCACGAAAATGGTGTGTTTTTTGAAAAAAAGAATTCATAAGCATCATAGGAAAAAGAATCCTCCAAAAGGCAGAAAAAATTACCTTGGAGTGATGCACATGAAGGGGATAGTGAAACCCAAAATTGAAAAGTGAACTTCTATTGAGATTAGCTTAAAATATTTTTATGTTTCAAGATTCTTACCAAGTCGTGACAAAGAAAAACGCAGCCTGCCATGTGAGACTCTTGAAATGAGCAGAATCAAGATCCCATGAAACCAGACCCGCCGCCGCCGATTTACTCACCGCTATCAACATGTACATATGCTCCACCAACATGACAGCCGCGAGTCCCACAAACGCAATGGCGGAGCACAACAACGGCGTCTTGCCGCTTCCACTGTAAACACATTGGTATTTCACGTCTTTCCCATCATCTCCGGTCTCCACCCACTTCTCCTGCGCCACCACACATAATATTAGCATCAACGAAAACGTAACCGAATCAAGAAAACAAACAAAGGGAAACAAAAACACCATGGGAAAGTTACCTGGGAACGGGTGGCTTCGGCTACGAGGCAAAGGACGAAGTAAAAGAGGCCACAAATTATGGTGAAAACTATGAAAGCGACGCCAGTTTTGCTGCCCAATTCAGTGGTTTTACGACTTGGTGCGAGATCGGCATGCGTGACGGCCACTGTTTTAGCCATTGTCGGAGGTCTGAAACAAAAGAGTATGGAATGAAAGAGTCCATGGGAAGGGGATTAAATGATTTGGGGCATCAAAAGTAAAGGAGCTACAGAATCGCTTGGAACAAAGGTTGCTTAAAGGCCAAAGATTCCCAATGCCTGTCAAGTATTCCACAAAAGTGAAGATTGTCGGTTCCAAAATTTAGCTTTTAAAATATGATATAAGTAAACCTAAAAGATTTTAAAGGGCAGATTTGCTTGGTCATGGTTTCCCACCATCTTTGTCTCAAAGTCCTCTTTTATTCACCTTTGGTTCACACACAGAGAGAGGATAGAATCCAATTATATAATGCAAATTTTTTTAACTTTATATAGATTTATGATTATTAGATGAGTAGAAAAGACAGTTGAGATTAAAAATAGAAAATGAGAAGATATTAAATATATAAAAAAGTTAATTCCAACCTTCTATTTTCACTATATCTTAAATCAATGTAAAACTAAAAAAAAAATTATATTACGTAAATGAGAATGGATGGTGAAGCAACCACCCCTTAAAGTATATATATATATATGCTTTTTATTGATAATACATTTTTGATTTTAGAATATAAGTTTTGTCACTTCTTAATCTTTATAAATTCGTTCATTAGAAACCCATTACGTCGTATTAGTGATTGAAGGAATTGTTATTCTCCCTCGAGGTTTTGGGTTCGAGCAAGTACGCCAGCACAGTGTATGCGTTGTTAATAGTTAAGAATGATTATAACCTATATTACTTTATAGTCACCTTAAGCTATTAAAAAATTGTTCTTTAGCATAAAATTTTAGACCCTCCAATGTATAGGTAAGGGTGTTTAAAACTGGGTACCATAATTTAGGGTACCCGAGACTTCTAGGTACCAAAATATCGGCCAATATCCTAGTTTGTAAGTTCAGATACTTGTAAAACTCGAGTATGTATTTCTGGGTCACGAGTGCCTGGTTTATGTTTCTTTTTAATTTGCTTTTTAAAATTATATATATTTTTTTAAAATCACATAGAGAAAAATATAAATTTTAAAAATCTATAATAGATAATCCATCCATAAAATCTAAAAGTTCAAATTACATATTAAAAAATACAATTAATTTAAATTTTTTGAAGTTAAAATAAATAATTTGAAAAATAATTTAAAGTTTTAGAGTGAACTAATTTAAGAAATTAAGAATTTATAAAATTAGGGTTAAATAATATGGGTATTAGAGATAAAAAAAATGTAATATAAAAAAAATAAAAAATATATAAGAAACTAGTTACTAGATCGACGAGTATCAAATTAAACATTATTTTATGACCTGAATCCTATCCATAAATTCGCCAAAAATAGTGAGTTTGATACTTTAAATGTTTTCACTATAACGATTCAATAATTTAGTTCAGATTGACAAGTCAACAGACCAAGTCATCCAGATCTGATATAAATATTTAAACATTCCCAAGTTCAATAGATGAACATGTTACATAATGTAATTTAACCGAGTCCTAGGTGCTTAAAGATTGGGTTGTTGAGATTGCCGACTTTAGGGAAAGGAGGAACCCCATAAAGTGCAACCCTGAAAGAACATATGGAACAATGGACCCAAGAATATTTGTTGCCGGTTTGCACCAGTGCCTTCTGTTCTTGTCTGGTTTGTTCCAAGAATTTATACTAAAGTATTCATACTTCTACATAAACACGTTCACATACGTGTACAAAATTAGAATAAAATCATGGGTAAAGTTATTTTCTTTTATTTTTTAATAATATAAAATGACTAGTATTTTATTTAACAATTTTATTAATTTTTTGACAATACATATACACTCCTATAGATATCTAAATTTGAATTTATATTTTCTAAAGAAAATAATACTCTTTTTACTCCGTTAAAACCACTCGTTGAATTCATAAATCAAATTATTTAATATCAAAACTGATAGTCTTAAACAATAATAAAACTATACAATTAATGATCAATGTTTAATCTTACTAATTTCAAAGCTGAGAATTATAAAAAGTAATTAATTTAAAAAAAATAAAAGTTAACAATATAATTTCATTAATTTTAAAATCAATGGAATATTAAAAATTAATAGATTAAAAATAAGAAATTACAATATACTTTCACTAATATTAAAACTATTAAGGGCTTAAAGTTTAATTAAACCGTAAAAGTTGAAGGGTAAGAATACGGGTGAATAAAATTTGAATTGACAAAAAATTTTCAAAATAAAGTTTAAGTTATAAAATATAACTCGAATAATTCAATTTTTTTTTTAATAATTGGACAATTAATTTTTAAGTTAGAGATAAGTCCCTCAAGTCTATATGATAAATTAATATTGCATACGAAATATATATATATATTAGGGTAAACTACATATTTAGTACTTAAATTATCTATTTTGTTTTGTTTTAATACCTAAACTTTCATTTGTTTTAAAATCATACCTAACATTTACTTTTTGTTTCTTTTTGGTATATCACCATTAAAAACTTAGCGGAACTGTTACAAAATGACACTCTTTTTATTGGTAAATTACATTCATTCATCATTCAACAATCTTCTTACTCCTATTTTGGCCATTGAAGTTTATATTTTAATTTAATTACTTAACTTTCAAATTACTTCTAACTTTTAAAATTATTTTTTTTATTTTAATTATATATTAATAAAATAATAATAAAAATTTCATGTCACAAAAATTGTTAATAAAATAAATTAGTGCAATTAAAACATTAGAAATTTGAAAGTTGAGTAGTTAAATTGAAAACTTTTAAACTTTAGTGATCAAAATAAGAGTAAAAAGATAATTAAGTGACGAATAATGTAATTTAGCCATAAAATGCCACATGCAACCGTTCCGTTAAATTTTTAATGGCATAGTACTAAAATGAAACAAAAAATAAACGTTAAATATGATTATGAAATAAATGAAAGTATAAATACTAAAATAAATAAAATTAATATTTTAAATACTAAACATATAATTTACCCTATAAAATAGAACTTGTAAACTTAACTATGACTTGACTAAAATCGGTCGAACATTCACCCTCGGGAAAAGTAAGGCTCTCTTCTCATCAACGCGGTTCCATCCTGAGAATTTACTTTCTACTTAAAATAAGTGTATGATTGACAGAGTTGCTCCTTATTACATTTTGACTTAATATAAAAAATATCTAAATTATATTTATCTTTTTATTTGATATTTAAATATTTTTTTATCAAATATATGTTTAATATTACTAACATTACTATTTTAAACGTATGATTCGTGATTATCATTAAAATATATTCCGTCAACTATTTAAAATGTGACACATTTGATGTTGTGTCCCTCTTAAAATCTTGTATGTGGTCAGTGGAGAATCCGATCGCTCGCCAGTGTGTGGGGGCTACTTGAGATTTTTGTGAACTTTTGGGTGATTTTGTGAAAAAATGATTTTTTTTGAAAAATTATAATTTTTTTAAATAAAAGTAATACAAAAATTAGACCACGTGTTGAATATTGATTGGATGATTACCTTTTAACGATCACCACGAACCAAGAACTTTAAATAATAACGTTAAATATTTATATGATCATCAAAAAATTTAAGCATCTAATGAAAATTGATATAATTTAAGCCGGTCTTTAAAATCAAGCAAGTTTACCAATTAATATTCAAATAAAGGTTGCACAGGGACAGTCTTAACTTACATCACATACAGTTTCTTCCATAATATACGTATAATTATACAAACCTCTTAATGGATTATTTCTTCCATTTTAATTATTTTAACCTTATAGTGTAAGATTGGTATTAAAGTAAACCCAGGAGTACAATTTTAATTAAAGAACATAGAGTAGGTCCCTGTTTAGAAATTTTGGTGTTATTTTCTTTCTAATATGACCAATACTGTTCTATTTTAGGTTTGGTTCATATCAACTTTCTTACAATATCTCAAGACTAGCTTAATCGTAGCCATTAATACCTGGTCTCAAAAAGCATTTCCAGCCTTTGCCCATCGCAATGACTGTGCGTTGGAATCTTTTCCAATAACATACTTGTTCGAGGTTCAGTACAGTAAGCTGATGCGTTCCATTGTTAACCTTCCTTTACTTGCTTTGTGTTTATTTTTAAAATTAATTACACTCACAACCACTAAATTAATTTTTATATTATGTTTTCATCACTTCCTTTATTGGAAAAGTGTCGTGTTTCATTCATACAGGGCCGGTCCTGACTATATTTTGACCCGAGGTGAAATTAAAAAAACTGGGCACTTAATTCAAAAAATTAAAAAATATGTAATATAAAATTTTAATTAGAGTTTGTTTAGAAGTGTAACTAATTTATTATTTATTAACATTATATAAAAATTCAATAATTAAAATTGCACCTTAATAAATATATGGCCCCATTATTTTATTTTACAATTTTTTTAAATTTCTTATCAAAATAAAAGAAATATTATATTAATATTTTTTAATTTGTTGGCCCTGGGGGGAGACCCTTCTGCCCTGGCCCAGTGCCGGCCCTGAATTCATATAACCAGTGTTGTGTTTCGTTCTAATTACGTTCATTACTTTAAATCTGTTTTGTGTTCTACTTCTAATTTCTCTTTATCTTTGAATGAAACAACTCAACTTGCCGGGCTGCCATTTTCTCCCCCAATGCAAGGGATGTCTGCAGCCGAAAAAGAGAATACTCACACTGGAGTCAATTACGGCTCTGGTTCTAGTGTGATCCAAGCTATGCCTCCTGCTGCAGCAAAATTATTTGTGAGTTTTCTTCCGTGCTTCTTTTACCACCCTACTATGTGAGCTTGATATTAAATATTAAATCTAATGTTAGCAGGGTTTAATTGCTTTTTTACTTTCAATTCACAGGGGTATGTTATGCGCTTTGAGGAACAAATAAATTTGTTCAAGGAGACGGCCACAAGCATAAAGAGTCGATTTGCCGACCTTAAGAGCTTTTCCCTTTACGTGTCCAAGTCATCGTTCTTCA